CACAAACTGCTGCAATTCTCCCGCATTCGTAGGGTAGGGGATCGCACACAGATGTTCTATGCGTTCAGGGTCTTGCTTGACGCCGTCACCACTGATGATGCGTCCGCACCACTTGACTTGGTCCGTGAACAGCTTGGTCTTGGCCGGACTCAGCTTGAACCCGCCTGGGCCACTCGATCGAAGAACGACTCGAGGGCATCCACGTACTCTTCCACTGTGTCGGCGTACACAAAGATGTCGTCGATCCAGATCAGCATGTTCTTGTAGAGCAGGTCTTTGTAGCATTCCTCGTTCGTTGATTGTACGTAGAGGGCACTGTCCACATGGCCTTGCATTCAGCATGAACAACAACATGTCCCAGCTGTCTGGGTGCAGTGGGAACTGCCAAAAGCACTTGGGCAGGTCGAACACGCCCATCGCTTTCTTACCTCGTAAGTTCTGGAGGATGGTAGCCTGGAATGGCATTGTCCCCGCCATCGGCTCGGTTAGCGAGTTGACAACTCGGTAGTCGTTGGTTGGCCGATAGTTCTTGAGCACGTCATCGTCGCTCCATTTGTCGGCCAACTTCAATGACTTGCGCCCATCTGGTTTAAGAACCGGGTTCACCGGGCTGCACCATGCACTTTGCTGGTTGCTCTTGATCATGCCTGCATCGAGAAGTTATTGCGCAAACAACTTGAGGAACCTCTCCTCCAGGAGGTTGTGCTTCCTTCCTTTGCATCGGTAAGGAACACACCCATCCTTCGGGGTCACCTTCAACGGCTTCACCTTCGCCGGTGGGTCTGACCCGTCGAACTTGATTCGCCAGATTTCATGCTTGCTGAGCACATCCCACAAGTACAGTACTTAACATGTTCCATTGGAAATCCGTTATCGACAGCGCCGTCGATCAAATCGTTAGGGCAATTCCACGAAATCGCCACCAACTTCTTCCAGGTCATCGCCGTCCTCATCCACTTGCAGGCGCGCCACCTGTTCCAGCAGGCGGTCAATGTCGATACCAATGGTCTTGAGGGTGTCATCCGAGACGAGGAATTCATCTCCGTCGTTGACCACATAGCAGAGGCGCTTGCCTGGCACCTTGACTGGTCCAGCGGCCGTCTGCATTGTTAGCGTAAGGTCCACGTAGGAGCTCGCTTCGAATGGCATCTGATTGCATGCTGTTCCCACAAATGGCGCAGCCAACTTGACAACTTGAAGTTGTGGCTGTAACGTTTGAAGTTCATCCACCATGGGTTGTGGCATAATGTTTTGGTCTACGCCGGTGTCCGGGCAGTATGGGACTTCCAGCACACTGTTCAGCCGCACCCAACGTCCATCATCCTCCATGCTGGGCGATGGGGTTTTCTTCATTCGGTTGGCTTGCATATTCTCTTTGCGTTCCCGCGCCTTAAACCGCTTGACGGTGTTCTTGCCCTTCTTCCAGCTTGTATCGCCGCTATCCCCGTCTTTTTTATTGGGACACTCCCGGGCCATGTGTCCTGGATGCTGACAGACAAAACACAGCAGGCCACGGTCATCCCGGCCAGGTGCAAATCGAGGGCGTGCTTCATCACGCGCAGCTTGGCCATGGAGGTCGTCGTGTCTTGGGCGCGAGTTCGCTTGCGGTCCGTACTTGTGGCTGGTGGCCCCCCCGTTCGCTTTTGCGTCGACGAGGACCACACCGCTGCACTTCGTTCCGGCTTGATGTATCCACCTGGTGGACGTGGGTAATTTCCTCGTAATTCCCGCTGATCTCGAACAGCTTGGTTGGCTTTCTTCGCATGTTTCGTAATGCGGCGCCCTTGGTCGTCTTCTTCACGGCCACGCTTCGAACCGTGTCTGTTTCTTGGTTGATTGACCATGTCCGCATCATGCGTTCGGTCAAGCTGTTCGCGTAGGATATCCGCAAAGGCCACCAGATCGTTCGCCGGCACGGTCTTCATTTGCTCTTCCACTCTGTCGCGTAGGTAACTGGGGTGTGACACGCGCTGCTACCACCTTCACGAACGTTCTTAGCATGGTTGAGTCTTTGAGTTGTTGGCGTAAGCCGTTTTCGTCGATGACATCATCAACCCGCTCCATGAATGACACCAGACGACTGGTCACGTCTCCATGAGGGGTCGACACTCAGCGCCTGACAGTATGTTTACATGTCTGACTTGGTGGGTGCCCACTTGGTCGCTGGTTGCCCGACGATTTCCATGATGCGATCGCGGTAGTCGTCCTCACTGAGTTGATCCACAGGCACTCGCCAAACATAGGTGCATGTAGCCTTCGGGAGGCTGCGGCAAGTGGAAGGAATCCACCCCATAGCACTCCGTCGCCACTCGCCACCTATGCATTGCCGGTAGCTTGTCCTCATATGTCTCCCGCTTCTTCACTCAACTCACTAGGAAGGTTCTGTCCATACAGGTGCTCCGAGGGGGTTGGACATCTGTCACCACCAATGAAGGTCCACTGGAGTTGAAATTGGCCCCCATCCTCCGCTTCTTGGCGTCGGTGGTTCTCTTGAAAGAGGTCCCCATCCCGAACTGCTTGGCAGGGTGGTATCCATCATCCGTCGATCATGGGCCGCACGCGCCACTTTGGCATGATCGACACGCTTCTCCTTTGGGGGACGATTGGCTTTGTTGATTCGCCGCCGCTCAGCTTGCTTACGTTGTTCTTCTTGGTATTCCTTTACTTCTTCCTCGCTGTCAGGAGTACTATCCGCTCGATTTCGCCGTTCCACACGTAGCTTAGCTCGAGCTTCCGCCTTTTCATCCGCTCGCTTCTCGGCATCGGACTTCTCTCGCGGCGGGTAGTCTTCATCGACATAAGCGCCTTCGATTGGGGGTCGTAGTAATTGTTCCCAGTTTGGTCCCACGGTTTGACCATCATATTGCCACCGCAATTCATCCCAGGTCATGGACGCCGCTCGCGCGCTACCCGTAGCCTTGTTCGCCCTGGCCAGGTCTTCCATCGTCTTCCGAACTTCCTCGCTCTTGGACTCTTCCACAGCCGGCAGCACATCCGTGGTCCCTCCAACTACCGGGACCAACTGTGGCTCCGTCACTGGAACTTCCTCCTCAGTTTCGCTGCTCACAGCTACTGGCGCCGTTGCCGCGGCCTTCTGCTTCTGGGCGCATTCTTTTGAGTTCTTCGCCATTGCTCTCAGTTCCGTAGGTCACTGGAACTAACTGTAAAGTATACTTTGTGTTGTTTCCCATGTCAGTGCCAACACAAACAACCAAATGGGGGAGTGCCGACTCCCTCAAACCGCACACTTGATTGACTTGATGTTACCACGGCGTTGCAGAACCAAGAGCGAGATTCCGGTAGTTGGCTGGGACAGGTGTTCTGTTTTCTACGTCCTAGTACTATTAGTAATACTTCTAGTAATACTATTCCTGTTCGTGTCGGTTCGCCAAGGGTCGGCACCCGGTGGCCTCGGTTGATGACCACCTGTGTTATAGCGGGACTTGGATTAAGTCGCCCACCACAACACTAGGTAATCAACTAAGTCTTCTTTAGTGTCTACCTTCGGTTTTTTCGCTTCGATCTTCGGTCTCGCCACAAATGCGCGTCAATAGATTCGGTTGCGTATCCGGACGACAGACTTAAAGTTGATTGGACCTTGGTAAGTTCGTCGAGAGCGTACTTATACGGTTGCTATTTAAGCCCATGTTCTTCGCAGGTCTCGCTGAAAACGCTCGTTCACTCGTTCCACTGTTCGGATCTTCTCAATCAGACTCATTCTAATTGTGTCTAAGTTCTCGACGTCGCTCTGTTTGAGATAGTGGATGACGTTAAATGAGACTAACTTCCTCTGACTCGCCTTGCGCAATAGGATGTTCTGGTCCCGCTGGATAACCTTGCTACTTGCCGCTGCCGCTCGCTCCGCTTTCCTGAATTCCTTCTTTTCGCGTGCCTTATTCTTGCTCATGCACGGATTTCGTTGGCAGTTAATCTTCACACGCACCAAATGTCCTTTTCCTAACGGTCGACTCTACCCCTACCGACTCTGATGTCGGATACAGTACCTCGAAGTACTAAGGAGAGTACTTTCGAGGAAAAAGAAACACTTGGGCGATCGCAAACCCGACACTAGTCTCTATGAAACGTTGCCGTTGAACCCTTGCCTGAACTAGATTGAGTAACCTTACAACCTTCTATTTGCTCGGTGTAAGTCCTTGCTGCTAAACTGAACTGAACTGAACAAGGAAGTGCTACGAAATGTAACGGTAGCGAGCTTCATAGAGTAAATTGGAAAGTGATTAGATTGTCGTGTTAAACTACTTTCTACGAAAATGTATACTATACTAAACTACATCAAGTAAGTGTTTTTTTCTACGGCTTCTTCAACGGCCTTGGCTGTCAATGGTGCGCCAATCTTTAGCTTATTCGACAGCCTTGCCCTCGTTTTGTTAACGATGCGATAAGCTGTATTCTTGGTCGGCAACCTTGCCATCGTTACATTGGCAAATAGGTTCAAGTTCCATTCCTAGAGTGGGTAGTCTTGCGCAGAGTAGAAGCGCCACGCGTCGACTTTATTGACTTCATTGAATTCATCGGCACTGGCGGGGACAGCTGAGCCAAGCAACGACAGCGCGGCAGCGAAATAAGCAATTGACTTCACGATCGATGGAAGGCAAATGGACAAGTGGGGTTGGGATGGGAAGAGATTATTTAATTTGAGTCCTCTTTTCTTTGTATCGCCCGTCTTGTTCTTCGAGTTGCATCGTCCGTAGGCTACTTGAACTACTCGGAGTAGTACTCAAGTGTAAGACACCAATGTGTCTTGCACACTCGGAGTAGTTCAAGTAGCGTTTGACTGATCACCTCAAGAGCAAGACACATTGGTGTCTTACACTTGAGGTGATCAGTCAAACTTTGTAGCCGACGCCTGTTCATACACCTTACAAATGGACGCCAAAAATCACTACCAATTCGCATGTCGAGCTGCCTTGTATGCCAAGAAGGTACACTTTTCTGCGGAAGCCGGACTGTTTCTGCCCAATTATAGGTCAGCTAAAACGTAACGAGATTGGAACAGGTTCATCCGAGCCATGTGTTGGAACAGTTCACTTTTGGCATGACCCATATTAACGGAACATGAAGGGAGATTGAGCGAAGAAAAACCGAAGATTACACACCACCCCTGGTCGAGCAGGCGCGTTACAATTGGCGAAGCGGTTCCACAACATGTGGTTCTAATTACGGCCCTCGTGGAGGAATGTCATAAAACAAACGATAATCCAAACTCAATGAACCATGCAAGGTGTCCCATTTGTTTTACAATGATACTAGTGCACCAAAGTAACTTTTACTGGTACAATGTACAATGTACAGTACTTCGTAGTAGTAACAAATCCAAGTAGTGCAATCACAGTCTGACGATAACGATTGGATTGACTTGGCTCTACTCTAGTAGTTAAAAGACCATTCATTTTCCAATTTCCATCATGAAGTTCGCAGTCCTCGCTTTCACCGTGGCCGTCGCTACCTAGCCCTAGGCGTTTGCAACTATCAGCCCCGTAACGACGCTTTCGAAATCCTCGGGGGACAGGAAGCCCTAGTCGGCAAGCACCGTTATGTTGCTGGGCTCAAGAAGTCACCCGATGGTGAGACCGTGTGCGGCGGCAGTCTGATCGCCCCCAATGTCGTTTTGACAGCGGCGTCTTGTTTCAACGAAGGTCTAACTTCTGTGGTCGTGGGCACGCACTCTTTAACCGGTTTTGCCGACGGGGAACTGGCCACTGTCACCCAGCAAATCGAAGACCCCAATGGCAC